CCTACATCATATAACTATCATGCACAGTTCTATCCCCTACATCATATAACTATCATGCACAGTTCTATCCCCTACATCATATAACTATCATGCACAGTTCTATCCCCTACATCATATAACTATCATGCAGAGCTCTATCCCTTACAACCTAACTATCATGTAGAGTACTGTTCCTCTATTTGTATCACACTAATACCTGAGGACATCTAAAATATTATTCTGGGGCTTGGACATTCACTAGTGATTCTGTTGTTCAGGTTTTTTTATACCTTTAAGTGACAAACCTAACTGTCACATCATTTATCAGAAACTCAACTTCAGGGTATCATGGGTCTCACTAGTCAGTGTTATACTTCTCAATCAAATCTGAAACAGATTAAAAGGGATGTGAAACTAAAGACTGTCATACATTATCCTTTGTTGTTACAGGAATGATTGTCTTTTTTTTTTTTCGAAACTGTTTTAAATTGTTAAATGTACACAGAACATTAAACTTAGCACTACGTGCATGTTACAGTGTTCAGTATTAAGACAAGTTACTACCTTCAGGCCATGTTCCTAGTTAGTATGTAAGAAAATGGGGGCATTAAAGATCAGCATTTTGGTCATCTGACTTAAGGCTGTTCTCTTTCTTAAATCTAAAACAAAAGAAGATCATTGTTGTCTACCTTTAGAAGAAAACACCTTTTGTTCTCCACGCATTCAAAGTGTTGAAGGTTTTGGCGATTCTCTTCTATAAGATTTCAATCTTTTCTGGCTCCATTGTGCTGTTTACTCCAAAATGTTAGAAATTAGTTTAAGGGCAAGTTAAAATGCATAAGAAATTTCCAATTGAACAACAAAACTGCAAAGGTTGGAAATAAAATATTGATGGAGAAAAACAGTTATTTGGCACACCAATCTTAAGCTGGAATTTCAGTTAAATATTTCATAACTTTCATTGTTATTACTAGAAGTTTTGTTTACCTGATCTTTAGTAAACTATCCTTGTTCAGGAACAAAGTCTGGAAATAGACTAGATATTTCAGAAGTATTGAGATAATTCCGTATATTTTGTTGTTATAATGTAATTCACCTTCCAGACATTTATTGCCAGCATAATTTGATGTGCCAACCCAGGAGTATTTATAAATGGTATCAGATATTGACTTCATTTATAGACTTATTGTTAGGAAATCCTGATGTTGCAGGAGAGTCTTCACACCAGTATTCAGTGAATAGTAACTCCTTGGTCCCATGTAAATGTACAAATACATAAATGACAGACTTTACAATACGTTTTACTAGTAAAGGTGCAGAAATATTTTTTGTTTTAATAATTGTGATTGCATGAATTTATTAAATTCCTGGTTTAGTTTTGTGACAAAATCTGAGTTGGAGTCGCACCTGTTCATAAAAATGACATCCAGGTGAAAAGTTCTCGAGTTGTATTTTCATACAGTGTAAGCATTTGAATTAAATAAAAAGTACATAAAAAGAATCCCAAACATCGAGCACAAATTTTACCTTATCATACAAAATGAACTACAGAGGTTTCCAAGATAAAATTGTAATACATTTTTCTAGTGTCATAATTAAGTATTTAAGCCTTAGAACTATTATTTTTACACTTATGTTTTTTTCAAGAAAAAAAATTAGTGTTGTTTTAGATTTAAGGAAACTAATAAAGAAACTTTCAGAATTTTTTTTTTTATATGGTGATATGCTTTACCACAGATTGGTTTCTGTGACACGTACACTTAATTTCCTTACTTACAAGGCAGCTTTTCCTCAAGTCTGGTTGGTCGCCTTTTTTGTATCACTTGCACACAGGATGAGTGCTCTGCCAGCTGATCTAAAGGATTAACCCTCTAAATTGTTTTAACAATTAAATTTTTCATGGCCAGAAAACTACTCGCTACCAAGTTTCTTATTTCACATTCAACATTTGAGACAAAATCAAGTCTTATTAAGATTGTAAATCAAACAGTCTGAGAATTTGAAGATTCAATTGAATGATGAATTATACTTCTCAAAATGCTGGGAAATTTTCAACTAGAAAAAACTTATTTAACACTTTATGCACTTTTTTTTCTTCTGAATTTACAGCATTGATTACAGATTTCTGGATAATGTACTTGTTCACAAATGATACCCAAATTTTTTTTTAAACAGATGTGTCAGTATATTTTGATAATTCAAACTAGTATATTTTAAAAAAATAAAATAGTGATATAAATATTTATATAAACTTCCAAGTTTTTCTATTTTTTTTCTTTAATTCTGCACATTAAGTATTGATTTTTTAACCCTTTGACTGCAGCTGCTTTAAATGCATGCAGAATTTTGGTGAGCCATACACTGTATACAGCACACTCGCACTCAACTGTCAGAGGTGGACTGTACCTTATATGGTGAATCAGCAGTTAATGGGTTAAAACCACATAATAAGCAGTAACATGAAACAGTAGGATCAACCTTAATTAGTAATGAACCAAATCTTAGTCTGTTTGCTGAAATAAACTACACAGCAACTGTTCCATGAAAACTTAAGGGTTTCTGGTTAATTCAGCTTTTAAAGTCTGGAATGTTCACAAAGGTACACATAACCTGTATTCAAAAAACTTTCAGAAGATTTTCAAACTCCAACTAAGGTTTTTGTGTAAAAACAAAACTTTTTCTTTTCCTTCTATAGTTAGCTCAAGCAAGTTAGAAAAAGAAATTGTACTTAATTGCTTTACATAAAAACAGGAAGTTCAGTTTTATATTTGCATTCAGGAATATTTTTTTATGTAGTTCAAATGATACTGCATTAATTGAACTTGCAAAACATTAGTAAAAAACTAATACTACCTTAACATATTCAATGCCATTGGCAACTCTAGGTTTAGGGCCCACCAGTGCTAAAATGTGCCACCCAAGAGACCAATCTGGTTTTATACTAGTCTATAGCCATAGTGCATGGGTGATAATTACTTCTACCACCACTTGGTGTAAGCATTATTAACATTTTAAAATAAGGTACTAGTAGGGCATGGGCATAGTTGGATAAACATGGGATTCCTGCCTAGGGCCCAAAATCTCCTAGAGCTGCCACTTTTAACTGTAACTCACAATAAAGCTGCAATTATCTCCACTGGAAGTACTATTAACAAGGTTTCTGACAAGTCCACATGATGTGATCTTTCTATTGTAAAGCAATGGAAAGAAAAGCTAATTGTGACAGTCACAATATAGATAGAAGATCATCAACATAGTAGTCAAGAGCTCTGAATCAAGTGTCCTTAAAATAAAGGATGTGCTTTGCAAAAAATCTTCTGTAAGCCTTGTTTGAAAATATCTTATATTTTTTAATGCATTTGTTTTTAACCTGTCAGTTTACACTTATCAACAAATTTACCAGAATCTAATTATACACAGAATGAAGAAAATATTCAAATTTGTTCCAGTCATAATTTTTAGATGATCTAATAAATAAATAAATATGGTATAATTATGTTTAATTTGAATTAATTATCTCCTTCATATGTAGAAGTTGACACCACAACCATTTTTCTATTATCAGTAATCAGCTACTACCGTAGTCTGTAATGTTTGCCCAGAGGCCAGAAAACTGCTTCTGGTGTTACTTAGCAAGTACTGTTGCAGCTCTATAATATCTTACTTTGTTTCAAATGTGTTTTAAATTTTTTATGTAATTGTATTAAAGAACAGTTCTTAAAAATTCAGATGTGTCAATAGCCACATTCACTGCACAACAAAACTAAGCATTTATAATTTTATCACTATTTGTGCATCTAGCATGTGTTTATTGAACAAACAAATTAAGCTGTATAACTATCTTCATAAATGAGGCTGTAAGACCTGGTTATTCTAAAGTAGGGGCAGCATTTTTGGGCTTGGAAACTAGTCACATGTAAGTCTACCATTTCTTATTATAAAAAGTGATATATATATATATATCCAATGTATGCTAGGTAGAGGGATGCATAGATACTCATTGCAACCTACTAGAACTAGTATAGAGCACTTACTAATTAACTTGCACAATTATTTACTGTAAATCAGGATATTGTTTTACGAGTTTTTTATGTTTCCTTTGCTTTTAGAGATTGATTGATTCTTTCTTTGCATGCACTCCTGAATGGTGGCAGCTGGTGAATTTTTTTTTACAGGTGAAGCACATGCTACACATGGCTACATTTTAAACCAACTGAAATCAATATATATCACTTGCACCTCAACTTCTCATCCCTGCAGAGTTTGTTTCTCATTTTCTAATTAAACAATCAGTAGCTTGCATAACCAAGCTTTCCTGCTGCCAAAGCAAAGCCATTCTGGCACACTCAGTATTCTTAGTTTTAAGGAACTTACTGTTTCCTTTTGCAAAATTATTAAGTCATAATTTTAGCTTTAGTAGCACTATATTAATGAATTTATTATATTCTTAAAATTATTATAACTGAAACATAATTAATGATAAAAGCAATGTTTGATTTAAGTGTTTAGAATAAGATTACGTATGTAGTAATTCTTTCTGAGGCAGTGTCTCACTTAACGAGTCATTATTGGATACTTTAAGTTTAGAAATCAGTATACTTGAATGCCACAACAGTACTGTTGGAAGTAGAAATCTCACCTTTGTCACATTCTAAACACAGTTAATATTCATAATTTTCTCTTCATTAATTCAAATTTACAACTTGCTAAGCAGGTTCTAAATTTTATGAGTAACATGTATTTTTGCCCAAATGATACTACTAATAAATTTCCAAATCAAAACTTTCCAATAAGATTTTTTGCACTACAATGCAATATTCTTTACCTGTTCTCAGCAGTTGTGTGTTTCGTACAACCTGCATCATAATTATTTAACAACACTAGCAAATACATTTTAATATTTTATTCATATATCAAACATATTTTCAAACATCAAACAGAGTTGCAAACATGTATTACCTGTAAAGATCTAGAAATGTATAAATATGAAAAACACAAAACAATACGGTTAAAATCTTAACACAACATAGCCACATCCTTTATTATCATGGTTGAATGAGTACCTTTATACTTCACAAGTTCTGTCACTTCAATGCCTGTTCCAGCTGCGTTCACTTGTGACTGAAGAACTACTTGAAAACCTGCTTCATCCAAAATAGTGAAATGCACACACACACACACACACACACATACCCATGTAGGTGCATACCTACTCTCTGTACCCAGTAAACTTTGGCTTCTGTTTCTCAGGTAGAATATCAAGGTTACCTTTTTTTAAGATGTCTGCTGGATTACCAAGTTGAAGGCAAACAGCTATACTTCCAAGTCTTTAGGCTCAAATCACTATATCTTCATGCATGTACCTGTAAAACTTGCTGTATAATGTTTATAAGTTCTTCTTCCAACCCCAAAGTTTGAATAAGATCATTCCACAGTACTTTTCAAACATCCATTATGTCTTTTGTCAAGTTTTTTAGATGGCACTCCTCAGGAAATTATTTTCATTGAATGTCTATTCCCTTTCAGTTAAAGACCAACTGGATTTTTTCTTCTGTTCACATTAATTTAGTGACAAAATTACATAAATTTTACCTACCTTAAGTCTATAACTTACAATTTAACACAGTTATCATGAATCAGTGAAGTACATATACATCTACAAAGAATGTAAAGAAATATCTAATTCTCTATCATATGTATATGGAAAACAGTAATACATTTCAAAAAGACCCAATTCAAAGCATACCTCTTAAAAAAAAAAGTATAATTAGGCAATCCAATGATAACCTATTTGTCTAATATTGAGTAGTTTGGTTTTAAGAGATTGGTATCTAAATATGGCCAACCTAGTTTTAGTGTGGTAATACACAGGACAAGTATTTACTAAAGCAATTTAGCTTCTTTCTTTTTCACACTGATAAAAGACAATTTAATTTGTATATTTTTCACCAATTTAAGATACCAAACAACTTATTGCTTGTAGATTTGGATAATTTTTCCAAAAGTCTTGTGTTTGTTATAACAAAGGATATTGGAAATTAGTTAACCTTTACTAAAACAGAAATATTATTCCTGAGTGCAGATTAGAGCTTGCTGATATCTACTTCTGTAATCAAATATCAAGAAATTGTATTTAATGTTCTAAAAAAAATATTACTCGCTAGTAATTACTTAAAAATAAATCTTAAAAAAAACCTTTTATCATTAGATGATAGGACATCACTGGCATTATAAGTGACAACAAATTAATTTTTCATTCAACACTTTAGTTCATGTTTAGCCTTATGTACATTAAAAATGGCTAATAAGTGCTGATTCTCTGATGTATCTGTAAAAGTAAAATGCTGAGTATAAAAACTATTTTATTTGTGGTTATTGGTCATTTTTAATAAAAATACAACTTTCAACATTATCATATTTAGATCTGACCTGTCTGTTTATAAAATAATCTCTTAGTCCTTCTTAAATATAGTATATGGGAAAGTACATCTACACTTGCAACACTTATATGTTGAACATCTTTAGGTAAAGTATCTTAAGCCTATCTGATACATTGTATATACTAACAAATATCTATGTTTTTAATAAATGCTGAACAAGTACTGAATTATACTTATATTTAATATTAATGAAATTCACATTAAATGTATATAACAATCTATCTAGAGACATAAAATCTAAAATTCACACATGTAATCCATCTATACTTATAAAATTCATATGCAAGGACAATTAACAGTACTTAAATCTAAGTGATATCTAATGAGATTACTCACTATTATCCTGAAAATGCAGAATAAAGAAGAAAATCTATAAATAACTGATTGTGAGGGTAATCTTAAGACTAACCTTGACAGCAGCAGCAGTAGCTGTAACTATAATATCACAGCCACAATAACACATCTACAGATATGTTGACCTTCAATGCTTTTAATGTTAGAATTCTTTTGTGAACTCCCTACACTTTCAAACTGATATTTACTGATGATAAAGACTGGAATATATAAAAAGAGCATGTACACATGAGATACATTTTAAAATAAATATAAAATCACAAACCTCTCTAAATTTAGTAGATTAAATGTACTTTGGTAAACCAATTTCCTAATCACTAACAGAACTTTTAAATCAAAATTAAGAATTATACTTGACATAAATTCTAAATCAGGTTTTATCTTATCTTAATAATACTATATGGTTACTTTTTGTTTGAAATACTACTCATTTGACAGTAGTAAAGGAAATTATATTAAAACTTAGCAACACTCAATGAACAGCATTTGAATTCATGACATTCATTAACTTATGCAAAAAGATTAGTCCATAAACTTGACAAATCCAACCATCAGTTAATTTACAAATATAATATATCAACTGACCTGGACTTTGTATACCTCAGTGTAATATTTCAGAGTCCACAAACAATTGAACTGATTAATTATGTAACCTTTTTTAAATCTATCAAAACAAGCTAGCACCCCATACAGTAATTTTTTTATCAATTTACTATACAGTATTAAAATAGAATGTTAAATAGTAATTCCATGTCTTTATGAAAATCTTCAAAAGTTGTGGAAATTTTGTGTATCTGGAAAGTTATCTTTATGTTAAGGCATAATAAAAATTATTTTTAAACAATCAGCCAAGATATTTATAGAAATTTTATTATAAAATTTTTTCAGTTGCCACATCTTTCACTTTAAAGCATAATACAAGTTCAAAAGACATATTTTTAATGATTTGAAAAATATTCTTTACTTAATTTAGAGTCAAACTGATTTCCTTCAGCAGTGTCTTTTTTAATGACAAAAGATATTATCCAAGTTTGAAAGAAATTCTGCTCCAAGTCAATCAGAGATGTGTAAAAAATTATATTATTCAGCTATCCTAGTACCATCTATTTCCCTCTGCATTGCTGGAAATTAAGTGAATTAGGCCTATGTGGGAAACAATCTGAATCAGAACTTGAAATGCAATTTACCTTAACCTTAATTTAGCTTATGGTACTTGAGCTATCCTTAATAGCAAGTGATAGAAAACGCTAAACAACCCAGTAATAGGCCCTGTTTAGAAGCCAATAATTTGCTTAGAGGCATAAAATAGTAATTGTCATAGAACATGCACTAATTTTATAAATTCTTTATCAATATACATGTTTTAATATACAACTACAGTCTTTAGTTAAAAGACTGTAAAAATAAAAATAAATTCACTTTTCGATTTGGATTCATGCATAATTAGAAATCCAGTTCCACATCAGAGGCAGATATGGGAGGGTGGGAGAGTAGGATATATCATCCTCTTGGCTTATTTCTTCCAATCTGACACATTAGCTTACACCATAATACAGCCAGGATAGTAACTATTTTACAAGACTTCTTAGAAAGCATAAGGCCAGGATGTATCTGTCTGATAGCTTATTGAAGACAGGTAAATGGAGTTAGTCTATCCATTGATTTTGTTCAGAATCTGATGACTTAATACCAAATTCAGGATATATATATATATAATTATTTCATTAGTATTTATGTAATGTCGTGTTTTATCACTGGGTGATGTTACAAATGTAGTGTCCTTATAAAATTGTGGTGGCTTGAGTAAATTGTATTAATTCATTTTTAAATATTAACGTTTGTTTGTCATATGCTACTTGGAACTGCCCCCCCCCCCCTCCAGAACCTAGTCTGGGTTTGCTCTTAAACTTGTACAGAAAAGCCTACCATCTTATTCTATGCAACATGAAAATATTTTTAGAAAGATAGCTTATATTTACAAATTTACTTTAGAATACAGTTACACCAGTTGTAATAGCTTATAATTAACTGGTAATTTGCAAGGATATAAATGTTTTAAGTGATAAAATTACTTGTTAGAAAGCAAAAACATTTAATTTAAAAATCTGCATTATTGTGTCATCATCTGAGTTGCTTCATGTGGAATGAGTACTTCACTCATGAGTTAGGTTTTAATGCCTTTGAAAGACAGACCTATGATGGGGTCAGTGGTAAATGTTCTGAAATTCATTTTCTGTCATTGGTCCATTCACATTCCTCCAGATATAAAATCAAGCATTGCCTCTTCTTGCTTTTCTCCCTCCTGGTTAAGTACATGAATAAGGATAAATTGCTTATCAAATAATGATAAATAATTATTTCATAAGATTGTTTTCCATATTAAGATGTTCATTGTTAACACATTTAAGATTACAACTGAACACATACCTGTGTGATAGAATTAAAATAACGACATTATTGAACACAGTATACTTAAATTATGAATAGATTACAATATTTTAACTCAGTAAATGAGCAATTTTAACAAACTATCAGAGTTGATATGGATTGTAATATGACACACTGGATAACACATATAATGACAAACTGAACTGTGCTGTTTTTAGTTATATAAGCTTACACTTGCTCAGCCCAATTGATGTCAGGTATTGTTATTTTGTTAAATAGCATCAAACATTGGGGGTGTGTGTGTGTTTTGGATCACACTGACCTACCTGAGCTGATGCAACTTGAAACTGCACTTTTCAGCTGATTGTGATATGTTATTTGTTATCCAATATCACTAAATTATTTTCATCATAAGGTAAAGAATATTTGAGTGCTAACTCTAATTTTGAAAACTTGATAGCTCCAAATAGTCTTTCCATTCTAAATAATAGATAAGTTTGTATATAAGTTGAATCCATACCAAATCTTCAAGTTATTTCACTGTCTAAGATGTTACAACTATAATTATTAAACACTTAAATCTACTGTGCAAATTACAATTAATGAATCATAATGGAGACTAGTATAAATTTCAGAAGTTAGCAGTTTATTTGCTAATTCTAGAATATACATACATCTATATTCTAAAATACTATGCACAGTAACTCATTGTGTTATAGTATGATAATGATTTTGTGAGTTAGGTGTCAGACTTTTTGAATAAAAATGCTGCCATTTATAATGCATCTTAAAGCATGATAAAATAAATGAAATACACAGTCATATAAAAACATTTAAGCCTGCTTTGAAACTGCGGATCACTATATGCTAATAAATCTTTCAAGTTAAATTTAAAAAAATACAATTTCAACTTATTATTTTATTACAAGTTAAAGGTACAATGTTTCAATCATTGGTGCGAACATTCTCAAGTACACAAGTTTTAGCCATTAAAATTTGTGTAATTGAGAATGATTGCACCAGTGTTTTAAACATTGTACCTGTTATAAAAACAAATCTTACTTACTGCATATGCTGTAACATGTAATAAAATAATAAATAATCAGTAAGTAAACTCAAAACAAGACTATTAATTTTGATTTATGCTAAGAAGTATGTGAAAAAGAAATGTTAGTGAATTTCTTGAGAATAATTAAACAAACTATAATTAAAACCTATTATAAAGAAAGAAAATGCTGCTATCACACACATACACACCATGAAATATATAAAGGATGGCATAAAAATAACAGGAAAATTAGAAATAACTGAATAAAGAAAAATGTTCTTTGCATGTATTGCTGAAGTAAAAATATCAGATATGTAAATTATAATTCTTAAAAGAAGTTTGCATTACTTTTATTGTTGTATTCAGTTAATTTACACGCACCTCATCAAGGTCTTCTTCAAGGACAGAAAAGCTCAAGTTACTGCCATAAGGGCTTTTCATTTTTGTAGCATCAGCATCATCTATTGTCTGTTCTTGTTCAAACTGTGAATGAAGCTGAGCCAATTGATGGGTGACTAAGTCTGGTTGCTGCAAGTCTAGAAGAGCTTTTAGATCCTTTTTCAGGACATCTTCCATCTGTTTCTCTGGCAGTTGATAGCGGTACATTACTTCTGAACTCAGACATACACGTTCAAGCCATGGTGGATCTTTTCTGATTACTCGATTTGGTTTCTTTGTTCTCTCTGGCTATACTTGACAAAAGTTTAGATATTAGTGTGAAATCTATACAAAGATTTTAGTTACTTACTTCTCCTCATTACTTATTTCTACAGATTATAACTTACTTTGATATCAAATTTGGTTCCTTCATCTAAGAAGCAAAATGGTAAACTTAAGAAAAACAGTTTTAAGATACTTAAGACTGAATTGAAATGTAGATTTTATAATTTATCCAGAGGTATTGTACTGTTTTCATAAAAATCAACATTTCAAATACAAAGAATAAAATATAAATTCATTTAAGATAAGCATATTACCTCAAATTTATCAAAATATGAAGAATTGACTTCCTTTGGCTCACAATAAGAAAGAGACAAATCATCTTTGTTACCACTTGTGGAAGAATCTCCTTCTAAGCTTTGTTTGGCTACTTTTTTAAGTCGTATCTTGGGCCCTGTAGATGAATTTTTCTTTACCTTTTGTTTTTGTACTTCACACTGATTTCCTTTCGAAATAGCCTAAATAGGTATAAAACTTACATTTTTTACAAGATTCTAAAATATAAAATATACTTTGCATAATATATTAGAATATAGGGGAGAAAGAAACAAGAAGTATTCTGTGTTCTACTGTTTATACAAATAAAAATTATATTAAATCTGTGGGAGGAAGAGACTAGTAGTATTCTGTGTTTTACTGTTTATATACAAACAAGTTGTGTCATAACTGTGAGATGAAGAAACAAGTAGTACACTTTGCTCTACTGTTTATATACAAACAAAAGTTATAAATGTGGGAGGACGAACAAGTAGTATTCTGTGTTCTACTATTTGTATAAACAGAAGTTATAAATGTGGGAGGAAGAACAAGTAGTATTCTGTGTTCTCCTATTTGTATAAACAAAAGTTGCTTCAGAAATGTGGGAGGAAGAACAAGTAGTATTCTGTGTGCTACTGTTTATATACAAACAAAAGTTATTTATTAACTGGGAGGACAAACAAGTAGTATTCTGTGTTCTACTATTTGTACAAACGAAAGTTATTTCTTAACTGAAAGGAAGAACAAGTAATATTCTGTGTTCCACTATTTGCACAAACAAAAGTTGTTTCAGAAATGTGGGAGGAAGAACAAGTAGAATTCTGTGTTCTACTGTTTATACAAATATAAGTATATCAGATCTGTGACACTGGGGTCTTACAGTTTTTGTGCAATTGCTAATGTTACTTGTGTTTCATTATTAAGTTTATTTTGTGTCTAATTATCAACTGAATGAAACTCGCAAAGCATTATACTATTAAACTGTTTTTCATAATATCCAAATACCTATTCACAGTTTTTTGTTACCTTTATATCCTTATGATACTAAAACAACCTGCATGAGATTGTTAACTGTGTAAGGTTATTCAAAGTTTCAATTCTTACTCTCTTTACTCCAAGAAATAAAAATAACTTTAGTTTTATTTGGATCTATGCACAGTGAATTGTTTCTAATAAAGACTATTTATTTCATTAACTGTCTGTTTAAATAAGTACAGCCAAGTGCAAGCAAGTAGTTAAAAAGCCTGTCAGCTGGTTTAGTTTTGTAGGTGTTTCTTAGTTAAGCACTACACATGTTTAAGCAACATATAAATGAAGAGTTAGCATTAAAAAGTGATACCAAGATGACACACATTATTTAGCATGTACCACATTTTAAAATCAACAATAATGATTTTTATATCTAATATCATTTTTAAAAACAGCGAAATGTAATGAAAAATACCTTTTATTTCTGGATGGACCAAGTTGGTTATTGAGATGCATTAATTGAAAGATGCTAAAATCTGTTTGTAAGGTTAAAAATTATTATTGTTCTTGACTTTTCACTGAAACTGCTTTACTCTACAACAAATAAAGGTGTTTGTATGTTCAAACATGAGCTTCTAATTAATCTGATGTTTATTCCTGAAGAGAGGTATATTTAATGGTATATTTAAAACATGAAAGAAACATACCTGTCTGTTGTGTGATAGTTCAAACTTTAGGTCTACATTTAACAGTGTTCCTGCTAACTTTTTCCCAGCAGTTTCACTATACTGGTTACTGACAGCAATGCCCTCTGTTACTACAGATGGAGTAAGTTGTTGGATATTTTCTGGAGATGGTATCTTAGCACCATCACCATCTGATGCTGTAGTATTTACACTAGACATGGGTGTAAATGGCCACATTGATGTTGACTGAGAAGGATGAGGTGCATAATAAGGAAAGGCATTGAAACAGATCATAGCTAAAAACAGAAAAAAAAAACGTTCATTAAGCAAAGAATAATAAACTCATCTTTAATGTGAATCAATTACAAAGTTTTATATTTTGTTTCTGAATTATGTACTTCATTGTTTTAGTTGCATACCTTTATCCCAATAACAATGGACAGTAAAACATTTGAGACATCTACATAATATAGCATGTGGAGGAATAATACAAGGCTCTTAAAACATAGATTAGTTATTATATTTTATGAGTTACTTTCACATTAACCAGGATTAAGTAGTTATTATAACTGAAAAAACAACAACTTACCAATCATGTCACATTTTATCATAAATTTTATCACCATATAAAATACTAAAACAGCAAGTATTTCACAAACTTCTAACTCTCCATGTCATTAGTACTTCCTTATCTATGTAATTCCTCAGTTTAGATACCCAATGGTGTGTTTAGGTTATTACTATGATTGTATTTTTAAGGACAAATTAGGTTCTTCTTTTTCTACATAATCCCCCCCCCCAAAAAAAAAAAACAGAATTGAAAGGTCAGAGCCCAAGAAACTCAGTGTGGGCTCACTATGCTTTTAGGCATATGATGACAATACTGCTAGGTGACTGCAAACAGACCTTTCATCCTTAACAATTTAAATATCACAGCTATAATTGTTGTCTTGTCAAGCCTTGGTCTGCTTATAAAACATTCATATCAGTAATATAACCTAGAAAACAAAGAAGATAATTTTGCAATAGTTGCACATAGAATAAAACCTACTCTATCATTAACCACACAGATTCTTACCTGGGAAATAGAAAGGGTTAGACATTCCACTTGAAGAAGCTGGTTGAGAAAAATATGGAATAAAGGGATGGCTCATATTGGCTGGTGTTGATGTATAAACAGGTGGAACGGCAGAACTGGATGTGACAGATGTTGAACTGGTACTGGCTGTTGTTGTAATCAGTGTGTTTTGAGATACCGAAGACAGTGAGGTTAATGAAAAAGGAGGGTTCAAATTAAATGCAACAGGCATCATGTTATTCAGCATCTGATCAGTTTGTGTGCAGGTGTTCAACATTGGCTTAATGTCAGACTTTTGGTGACGTGTTGTCTTCAAGTACTTTGCTTTGGAAAACAGCTTGCTATTCTCTTTTGGCCTGCATGCCTCTTTACGAGCTGCTGAATTAGCACTAGCAACATGCCTGTCTTTACGCTGCTTAAGGAGTTTATGACCCCTTCGATTGTGTTGAGACAATGCATGAGCTGTAAGGTACCTGCACTGGTTGGAAATCTTTTGTTCTTTTCTTGGGGATGTAACTTCCTTTCTTTCAGAGTCTTCAAAACTATTATCCATCTTTTGCTCTGTGCTGCTTTGTACAGAAGAGAGGGTTCCAACACCAGAGTCTCTTGTGATAATGGATGACATTTTCCGCTTAGAAGAAGAACTACTTTCATAATCTGTAATTCCATACCCAACTGTTGATTTGTGTGAAATCGAAGATTTACTTTGGTTTTCAGATGAACCTAATAAAAAAAAGTTACAGCATTCATGAAATAAAATACATGTAAAATATTCTTGGTTTAATCTGTCTGAACTTTATATACTCAACAAAAACATTTCTTTCGAAATCTTATAACACTATTTAGTACTTATTAGAACAGACAATTTTGTCTTCAGGTCAAGTTCTTAATTTCTGATTATCAAGAACTTGTTTAACTCTCTGTGCATGGGTTCGGTCATTTTGACCAACCTTGTAACCATCAGGTAACTATGAAAGTATACATATTAAAACTCTGAATTCACTAAGTGTATCTCCACAAAACTTGGCAAACTTTTTGTCTGTTGCACACACAAAAAATCAGATTTTTTAATAAAGTATTCATATTTAAGATTTGTCTCTGAATTTACTTTAGTCATACTGACTCAGACTCTATCCAGTCTGAGTGACAGGTGATTTTCATGTTAAGAATAAAAATATGTTTTTAGTTCTTAAAATTTTCATATTTCATTTGTATATCCTCCAGAACCTCTTAAATAAATAAAGTTTTTTCATTAAAGCTTTATACTTTATCTGTTATTGTCTCTACCCTAATGTTGCACATGGGCTCAGTCCATTTGATCAACCTTGTAACCACCATGTAAAAATACAAAATAGATATAAATTACTTTCTTTTTCTTCCTGGAATGACTGAATATTATTACAGACAATTATAGTCTTCAGTCTCTAACTTTTTCACAACTACTTTCATTTAATTCTATTGTTTTATTGCTCTCTGAACCATGTCTAACTGCTAAACTAGTAAAACAATGCATTAATTTATCCAGTAAAAGTATATTACAAGTTATGATAAACAAAGTACTGAATCACACCATACACAAGGACCTAGCATACATTCCTAAAAAGTTTTTATTTAGTTGTTTTTTTTTACATTTTAGTTAGTTTTATAACAATAAATAAATAATAAACAAAACAAACAATAAATTTAGTACTTATGTGTGAGTCTCGTACTTTTTTGCTGTTGAAGTCTCAAAGTCTCAATAAAAGTTAATCTTAATTTTTGGAAGGTTGTTTTTAGTACTTAACTGAATATTTATTTATTTCAAATATTTAATTTAGAAATGAAAGTAATAACATGCACAATGAATACAATGTCCTATAACTATTAGAATTTAACTAGCTTTCGAATTAAACTACAAGTGGTTTAAAGTAATTTCTTTGGATGGTCAGGGTGAATCAGTGATAGCATGGAAATAAAATTATTTAAAATATGTCATTAGGATGCACTAGCTAATTAAAATATTTGCACACAGCAAATTAAAATATTTTCTTTGTATTGGTTATAAACAATCCAGTAACAATTGTCAGAGAGAATTAACAGTTTTTGAAAGACAGGATATATTAGGAGAGCGTGGCATGTGGATTTGACTTTCTGGTTTACATCTCAGTACAGCAGAAAGATTAGAAGCATAAATTAAGTCTTAGTAATATCTATACTATAAGTGTGTAATTTTAATTAAAACTCAAAAGCTCAAATTGGGGTGGAAGGAACATCTAAATTGGACAATTTGGTATAAAAAAAGTGTCACATGATACAGAAAAATGAAGATTGAGAATTTATATAAATATTTCCTTTAGAAATTAAATCTTAGATAATATGAAAATTTTGATTATAAACTATGTTTTTATGCCATATTTGCTGACATACATTAATAATAAAGTAGTTTAATTATAATTTGAAAGTAACTACAAAAAGTTGTGACATGCACACATTGACCAACACGTATTGAGAGGGTTAATGAGTTGTATCATATTCATATATAGTAAACACCATTCATGCTTAAAATTATTCAGAGTTTTGAAGTTTATCATACTTGTTAACTATGCATTTCCAAAAGTCTTTCTCAATTTAGATCATTAAAATAAAATGGCACAAACAAAATATTTGAAAAGCATTTAATGATATAGCATGTACAAAGATTTGCATCTAAAGTTTTTGAAAAATACTACTGAACCTTATTTGTGTTTATTCTTTATGCATGACACTTACTATATCAAAACGCTGACATCTACTTTTTTTATTCACTTACAATAAATTTGTAAATTACATTCTTACAATCATGTTTAACATGACAAATTCCAATTTGAAACTGACCATAGTTCTTTCCATTTTCTTCATCAGTGGTTCTACCTGATGTTTGTTTTTCTTCACCTTTACTTTCTCCTGATCCATCAGAGTAAGTTTTTGGTTGACTAGCAAAGAATCTATAGATAAGTAATTATAATTCATTACTTTTGGATTTCAAAGGTAGTTTAGATCATCTACTTGACTAGCAAAGAATCTATAGATAAGTAATTATAATTCATTACTTTTGGATTTCAAAGGTAGTTTAGATCATCTACTTGACTAGCAGAGAATCTACTTGTAATTGATATGTCATTATAGATCATTTGTTGGATTTAGGTAGTTTAGAGCATCTAATTGACTAACAAAGAATCTACATGTAATTGATATGTCAT